TATATATATATATATATATATATATATATAACACTTTCAAAGTAAAGCAAAATAACAGCGTCTGTTTCTTGCCTTTTTTTTACAAAGAAAATTAGTGACATCTTCTCTCTTAACTTCCTTCCCTCTTTTTCTCTCTATGGTTTTTTCTTCTCTACCTCTTCGATATCAATATATAACTTTCGTTAAGTTAACCGTTTAAATGTGTCAATATCTGCTAACTCACTCATGTCTTCTCTCTCCCCCCCTCACTTCCTCACTTCGTTAATTTACATATGTTTAATACGGCCCGTCAAAAATGTGTAAATTTTCTTTTCATTTTTTGTTTGGAAGTAAAGTCTGATGATCCGCAGTCCTTTTAAAAGGGCTGTGGTGAAATAATTTATTACATGGAACCTTAAAGTGGTCTGTTTTTATTTAAATATATATATATATATATATATATATATATATATATATATATATATATATATATATATTCATGAGTCTGTCACGATAAAACATCACGGTCCTGCTTCAAGATTGGAAGGTTATTAAAGAGGCCTTCTATATCATAAAATAGACTGTAAATGTAGGTAGCTGTGCTGTGCGAAATAATTGTCTTGCTCCATGGCTTTATGTCCAGAACAGTAGATCACTTCCGATTTCTCGTTTTGCTCGCCATCAGTGAATTCTGTTTTAGAGGTATTCACATCGAGTAAAACATTCTTGGCATTATTTTCTAGATGATGTAGATTTACTGTGGCATAAATTTATGTACGGTCATGTGTGTGTAAAATACAAAACGAACAAAAAGAAGCACTGTTTCTCTCTCCTTTCCTCCCCTCATTTTTCTCTTTATTTCTGTGTCGTTGTCTCCCCTTTTCTTAAAAAAATCTATAGATAGTGCTTAACTATGAAATCATTACGGTAAACTGATATATTTTCAAATTATATATAAGTAACGGTCAGTACACACTCAGCACCTGAAGATTGCGTTAGAAAGGAAATTCCGAGTCGTGCAAAAGGTATGGGATAATCTGTATATTCATTAATACCTATACTTCATAGTTCTGTTATATAATATCGAGCACTGTTTCAATATAACAGCATATTATGTGCAATTCATATATATATATATATTTTATATTACAAAGAGTTAATCAAACCTTGAATCAATTAGCAATATTAATACAATTATTAATGAAAAAAATTCCTTAGTAGACATAATTATAAGCATTATACTACTAATAATCCACTGAATGATGAGATCCTTTATGTATAAAATGGATACGGTCTTATTTTTAATTAAGCTATTTTTTTGAGTGTTTCACGCATTCATCATCGGGCTGTATTTAAAAAAAATACTAATTGATTCAAGATATGATTAACTCTTTGTAATATAAAAATATTAATTTATATATATAAATATATATATATATATATATATATATATATATATGTAATATAATCTATGCTGTTATATTTACACACGAACACCATTTTATTCAGACCTGCAATGCTATATATATATATATTATGAAGAAATATACTTTAATATATAAATACATTTATGGAGTAAAGTGCTCAATATCAGAGATAGAATATATTTAAATATGAATATAAATTGAAAAATATGTCAACGTCAGAGGGGAAAATATTTGTTTCATCGTGGACGCAATCGTCAGGCGGCCTCACGATTGCGTCTAGCATGAAACAGCCTGTCGCCTCTGAGTTTTGACTTCAACGTTCACTTATATATATATATATATATATATGCTTTTCAAGCATGCAATACGCACACATTTATATAAAGAGTCAAAAAAGAATATGGAAATATAATCAGTTATATATATATATATATATATATATATATATATATATATATATATATATATATATATATTCTTATGAACTGATTGATTTTTTTTTTTAATCCGACAGATGTTATTATCTTTTAAAGTTAATTTACTGTTAATTTACTTTGATAAGTTAATTTACTGTTATATGTACTGGATATCCATGTTTGAAAACACGCTTCCGTTTATTTATTTAACAAAAATATAAGGCGGGTTAACTTTCAATAATTGATCGTGAAAAAGACAAAACTCCGTCATATTTGAAAGAAATCACATCAGATTTACGGCAGGTTTTCTCTGTCAACGATTTTTCGATTCGGAATATTCAGGTTAATTGACGAAAATAGATAAATATACCGTTTAATAAATAAACGAATATGATTATCCACTAAAGATGATGTCTAAATATTTTCAATATATATATATATATATATATATATATATATATATATATATATATATATATATAAATTCCCAAACATAGAATCAAGGCAGAACTCAATGTCCAGGACAGATTATAAGAAAATAATATAATTAGGCCCAAATTGAAAATTCCATATTAAAATTATTTATTACATTTTAAATCATATATCACATTCAATTCATCAGACCTACAAATTAAAAAACTCGAAAAAAATATAACTCCGGGTAAAAAAACCAAAATTTAGTGAGAGAAATTAAATTTTTTTATACGCGGATTTATATTTTCCGAAATTAAATTTTTTAATAAAAAAATTTGATAAATTGATCGTGATTACGATTCCACTGTAATAATTTATACCCATGGAATATTAGTCTTTGAGACTTTTATATTATATTATATATATATATATATATATATATATATGTGTGTGTGTGTGTGTGTGTGTGTATGCATAAACGTATGTATATGTGTATTTATTATTTATTATTATTCTTTCCTCTGTCTAATCACATTAAACACTACTATGTCTACACCTCTTGGCTAAATTTGGTAATTATTTATTTGCTTACCAACGTATGCACGTCACACAGACACACACACACACAGACAAACACACACAGACACACACACTCACACACACACACACACACACACACACATATATATATATATATATTATTTATATATATATCTTTTTGATATTCGGGACATAAATTCATTGTGGAACACTCTGTAATTAGTGCATTATCAATACATTTTAGCCGTAATAAATTACATTCTTTTAATTGAAACTGCATTCATTAAGCCGAAATTATTGGTAGACCTATTACGATATACTCTTACGATGACCTATTTCGATGACCTCTTACGATGCAATGAACGTCTTCCTCTTTTAAAATATTCCGTTTTGTTTATATGTAATCATTTTATTGAAATTTCCAGATATTTATTTCTTGAGGCATGTCTACGTTTAATTTCTAAAGTTTAATCTGTTTCGTGTTTAATGTTGTTATTTCTTTGTTTTGCATTGGTTAATCTTTGATTGTTTTTTTTAAATACACGTACGATTTAAAATACGTAATTTAAAAAAAAATATAAGTAACTATTTTTTTTATTAAGTTAAGATTCATTTTTTTTTTCAAATACAATCATTGTTGAGTTTGCTAGATAGTATTATTTGTTAGAGAGCCACTATTTTTGGGGTGTTACAGAGAGTGAGTGAGGGGGACAAGACTGTGTATAGAGGGGACTGGTGAAAGGATAAAAGGAGAACGCGGAACACGACAAGAGAAGATGGCGATTGGCGTTGCATTTAAATTTTTCAAGATTGTAGTTATTAGGGAAGAAAGTAAGAGGAAAGCAGTTCCACTGTCGGTAAGTGCGAGAAAGGAAACTGTTGAAGTAGAGGTGGCAGTTACCTTTAACTATTTCAACATTAAAAGTTTGGGACCTAGATGCCAATCTAGTAGCACGCTTAAATTCATATCGTCGGGGCGTCAGGGAAGATAGATCATAAGAAATGACAGAGGGAAGCCACATAACTTTAATGAGAAAGTCACTGAAGTCGAGATGCCATGTCATGGTTGATTACATTGCAGATCACTTTTTTTTTTTTGATTTTGTCGAGAACCTTGAGATGAACAGCAGGGGCATCAAGTAAGATATGGCGACACTATTCAATGCATGAATGGTAGATTTGTAAATGTGTGTCAGATACACTCTGATGAATAAAAAAAAAAACAGAGGAAAAGTATTCTTAGCCGGTGCGTTTTGTACTCTGAGGGACTTTATCAAGGCAAATGATTTGTCATTTTATTTGTTCCTTTAAAGATAAAATATTCTATCAAAATATATATATATATATATATATATATATATATATATATATATATATATATATATATATATATATATATATATATGTATGTAATGTATATAAATAAAAAAGAAAGAACAGTAAGATATAAAATCCGGTGTTCTTATAGATATTTTTTATTTTTACAAATAGAGCTCAATGTAAATTTACAGAGCATTAATATTATAAATTAATTGATTTAAAATATTTTTTTTCGCCACACAGTTCCAACCATGTTTCAAAAATAGAAGCTAAAAAAGTTAATTGAATTTAATTTTGCAATTAAATTAAAAGCATTAGTTCCATTTCATCTTCAAGCGAATTTTGGAATTTTTCAATAGGTTTTAAGAAACCAGTTCCATGAAAATTTCTCTATTCCAGAACATTATACTGAACGGATGCTTGACATATTTTACTGCTAACTTCAAAGATGTTTCAAAATTTCTTCTTCGGATTTTAGATCGATTATCCTTTGAATTTAGCTCAACTTTCGTTTCATCGGAGAAAGAACATTTTGTAAAAAAAAATCAGGTGAGTCACTTTTATCGAACAGCATATTTATATATATATATATATATATATATATATATATATATATATATATATATATATATATATATCGCAAATATTGTGTTCAATTCACAAACGGGATATATTGCAGAGTCAATTTGCTAATTGTCGGATATAAATCATTGTTTAAACAATCGTCTCGACTCGTAGAAGAACAAATCATAATTTTAAGCGAGAGAATAATAGTTGAAATCCAGACAGAAAATAAAGGAAATTGGCGGAAAATGACGGAAATTAACGGGAAAGGACGGAAATTGGCGGTGAATGTAAGTCGGCCCGGTAAATCTATCTGGAGCCAGGCAGAGTGTTTATCCAGATGATTGAACGCCATTCCAACATCCTATTCCGGTGATCGAGGACGTGATTGATTAATTTTGACACGGAGGGAATTTGGACGAGACGTCAGGGCTTGACTTTCACTGGAGGCCTCTATCGCAGTCGGCCATTGCTGGCCGTGTCTCATTGTTCGCCGTTTCGAGTTGTCAAACTGTTCATTTTTGTTTTCTTTCATCCCAAGCAAGGCAGGACATCCACTACTACGCAGGAGGTTACAGAGTCTGAAAGTGAGAGAAAAGAGTGGGTATAGAGGAGATTGAGGAAAGGATAAAGGATGATTGGGATTCAAGAAGATAGAAGATGGCGATTGACGTTGCATTTAATTTTTTGAAGACTAGTTTCAGGGAAGCAAATAAACGGAAGGGAGTTCCACAGGCGGGAAGTGCGAGAAAGGAAACTGTTGTAGTAGAAGTGGCAGTTGCATTTAACTATTTCGATAGTAAAAAGGTGGGAGCTTGATGTCAATCTACTAGCACGCTTAAATTCATGTTGTCCGGGGACCGGGGAAAAAGAACTCGTCAGAGCAGCAGCCATGAAAATATTTGTAGAAAAGACAGAAGGAAGTCACGTCACGTGGATGAGAAAGTGACTGAAGTCGATATGCCAAGTCAGGATTGATTACATTGCAGATCATTGTTAGGATTTTGTCAAGAATCTTAGCAGAAGCACCAGACCAGCCATTTTTTTTTTGGGGGGGGGAGATAAGTAAAGGGTTTTAGGATTTTATTTCAATCAAAACCTATACGAAATCGGATATGAGACGTAAATGTCTGGCGACAAAAAAGGGCTTTCGGCTTTTTTTCTCGAAAATTATTGTATATCTATATATCCATATTGTTTTTTAATGCTGTGTTCATCTCTATCTATAAAGGGCAGAATGTGTGTGTGTGTTTAACGAATGCACGGCCGCAATTTTCGACGGATTTGCACCAAGATGTACATGCACATGCTCCAAGTTAGTGGGAAGGCCAAGACCGTCATTGCATTTCCCAACTCTCATCGATAGTGGAAATAATCGATTTTTTCATGCTTCTACGGCATTTTTCATGTAGTTTGCGGCCATTTTCTACTGGCCAGAGTGAGAGCCTATAGCTGGCTGTCACAAATAGGCAGGAAGATTCTATTGACCAGCGTGAAAGCCAACAGCTGACTGACACGAATGTTAACTAGCATGCTAGCATGCAAAAAATAAAATCGATAGCTGCATTCGTCACAAGTGGGAAAAATTTAAATCTGCATGGCAATTTTATTCCAATTGGCTCATTCATTTTTTGCTTAAACTCAACGTTGATTCTGATTCTGCAGAACTGGGTTGGGTGTGAAAAAGTATTTGTTGTTAACATTTTTCCAGTTACGAGTCCTTTTTTAAAGCTGATCATTTTGTGTTCATTTTGTTTAGTTCTTTTTTCATAACAGATTTAATGTTTAGTATAGAGCTTACAAAAAATTTGCAGTGTGAGATAGGCAAGAAGTAAAGCATGTAGCAACATCAGCACGGCAAAGGGCACTCCTTTAAAGGCAAGGAAGGGCAAAAATATTTTAAGTCAAGTGATAGCGATTGTTGTACGAGTTGTACGATTTTTGAATCAAATATGGCCAACGCCGGGCCATGCTGCTAGTTTTGAAATATTTTCCTTTTCGTTTTACTGAGCATGTGAGAAACGACGAAGGTTTAGGGAAAATGGAAACAAAATGGTCATTCGAATCAGAACGAGACAGTTGAAGTTTCTCTTTCACATAATGAAGAAAGCAGGCTTGGAGAATTTGAAACTCACAAGACATAATCATTGATTGATTTGTTTTCAGTATGGCTTCTCGAGCGCGCAGCAGAATCAGGTCAGTGACAGGCCAAGAACAATGCGTATTCGTTAAAGTCACCGGAACAATGAAAGCGGTGTTAATGCTCAGAATGTTATCAGAAAGAGCAATACAAATGCAGAAGAACGTATACCTATGTTCTATAGACTCTGCAAAGGTGTTCGATAAAATATGCCACAAGGATCTCTTGGAACTGCTCAGCTACCTTGATATATTTGGGAAAGATATTAGAATAATCAAGAACCTACACTGGCAGCAATCGGCATACATGCGCATAGAGAATAATTTCTGTAGAAATCCAAAAATAGAAAGAGGCGTAAGGCAAGGATGTATCTTCTCACCGGACTTATTCAACCTATACAGAGAGGCAATTCATCATTGGCGGCCACAATCTTAACAACATAAGATACGCAGATGACACAGTACTGATAGCAGACACAAAAAAGAAATTACAAAATCTCCTACAGAAGGTAGCGACTAAGCATAAACTACAAGAAGACAGAATGCCTAGTCATCAGTAAAAGGATGAACCCGAAATGCGCTTTTCAGGTTGGGAAGGCTAAAATAAAGCTCATGCGGAAATTTAAATATTTGGGAAGTGTTTTGACAGAGGACGGCAAGTGCTACGCTGAGACCCGAAGACGTATTGGGATGGCCAAAGACGCATTCCAAAAGCTAGACAGACTATTACGAGACAGGATGATTTCTTTGGTAACAAAGAAATGAGTACCGAGCTGCTACGTGACATCTGTCCTTCTTTATGTCAGCGAATGTTGGATGGTCTCCTCACAGATGAAGAAGAAACTCGAGGCGTCGGAGGGATGGTTCTACAGAAGGATGCTAAGAATATCATAGACCGAGTGTGTGAGTAACTACGAGGTTTTAAGTGAGGATACAAACAAGGAGGAAGCTTATACATAACATCTGGAAAAGATAGCTGAAATTTCTGCGATACGTAATGAGAAAGGAGGGTTTGGAGAATCTGATACTCACAGGTCGAATAGCGGGAAAGAGAGACAAGGAAAAGCAATGCATGACATACCTGTTGGGCTTAAGCAAGTGGATGCCAGAACATGGCTTGCAGAAAGTAGCAGAAGGTACATAGCTTATTGAGAGCTACAAGGGATAGGGGAAAGTGGAGAGCCATGATCGCCTACGTCCTGAAGAGAGACGGCACATAAAAAGAAAAGGAAGGCCTTTTACTGGTTATTTAAATCCAGAAAATATTTTTAGATTGTCAGAATTTTTTGGCAATAATAATGATTTACTGATACAGGTCATACTAATTAACCCATAGGTATGAGGAAAAGAAGTGTACAATACCAAGTATATTTGCGTATTAGTGAATATGACGGACTCGACTGTGGAACTTGTCTACCCGATTTCCAATCCCAAGCCGTTAGCCATTACACAAGCACGCATATCCAATTTTACATCATCTGGCATTTCCAAGCGGTCACTCATGTAGGTACTGACCCGGCTCAACTTTGTTTAATGTCGTTGATCGTACGAGAACCCGTGTTTCGACGTAATATGGCCGTAAGCCAGGTCATATTGAAGTTAAAGGGTGAGAGATAAAAACAGAAAATAACTGACGAGCTTGGGTAAATGGCTGACAGAACAAGGATTAGGAAAGATAATAACTAGAGAAACGGACAGGAAGGTGTGGAGAACCACGATCGTACACGTCCTAAAGAGACACAACATATAGAAGAAAATTGTTTCCTTATCTGCACGTAAACTGTCCTTCCTGCTTCCATTTCATCTCCATTTATTTCTCCTATACATCTTTACTCTTCAGTTATAATGCATTTTTTCGATTTATTGGAGGTTCTACTACGTTTTCTTTCTTTCTTTATTTCTTTCTTTCTTTCTTTCTTTCTTTTACATCACTTACTCATATCTCTTACTTTTTCTTTCTTACTGTGACTGATATTGTTTATGTTCTTTCGTCCCTTTTTTCTCATACCTTTTATCCTTCTTTCTTTCTTTTTCTTTCTTTCTTTCTTTCTTTCTTTCTTTCTTTCTTTCTTTTCCAGCAGTATTTAAAATCCTTCTTTTCTTTGATGATCTATCCTTCATTGGTTCTTTCTTTCTTGCTTGCTTTCTCAATATTTCCACTCCTTTCTTTTTTATCCTTCATTTTATCTGCTTCTTTCTTTCTTTCTTTCTTTCTTTCTTTCTTTCTTTCTTTCCCAGGAGTATTTAAAATACATCTTTTCTTAGATGATCTATCCTTCACTGTTTTTTTTATTTCTTGTTTGCTTTCTCAATGTTTCCACTCCTTCTTTCTTTTTTATCGTCCATTTTATCTCTTTCTTTCTTTCTTTTTCAAGATTATTTAAAACCTTTTCTTTACTTAGCTATGTGGCCTTTATTAGTTCTTTCTTCCTTAATATTTCCTCTTTTTCTTTCTTTTTTGTTTCTTTTCTATCATTCATTTTATATGCGTGTTTGTTGTATTTTTCTTTCTTTCTTTCTTTTTCCTTTCTAACTTTCTTTCATTTTTTCTTTTTTAGGGTTATTTTAAATTTTTCTTTTCTTAACTATTCTAGCCTTTTTTTCTTTTTTTCATTCTTTCTTTCATTTTACCACTTCGAAATTATATTTAATTTATATTTGTTCGGCTATAATCTATATTTGTTTTTTTCCAGTTTAATAGATGTACAATATGGCTCAGATATTGGTATAAGGAAGTAAATCTGAAAGCTGAGTTCGATCCCATCCTGGCACATAGCGTGTTTGTTTACTTTCATTTTCAATGCCGCTCCGCCTCTTCCTTTATCTATTCTTTTTATCTGGTCTTCAATTTAATTTCCCATTGATCATTCCAAAATCTGACATCAGCTTATCCAAAGCAGACCTCATGGAACAAACTCAATCACTTCTGCCAATTTCATTCCCGCCATTCTCATCTAATTATCCAAACGCCATCAAAATATATTTTGCTCTCAGACGAGAATATTCTTCCTTCAATTTCATACCAAAGCCCTGTGGTTGACCTCCATTTTAGACAAATTGACGCCATGATACCAAAACTTAGAAATAATTTCGAATAATGCTGTCTAGATGTGAAGAAAAGATGAGTAATAAAACATTGTTAAGAAAAGTTTGACCAAAATAATCTATATAATAACACTGGAGGGATTTTATTGGCATTTTGTTCATTTTAAGAATGAACGAAAACATTGCCATTATTGAAGTTAAGATCAATTGAATGCTATTCTGAAAAAAAAAAACAAACAAAAAAACATGTTAGTAGGTAATGCAAATCAATTTAACAAATAAAAAAAGCAAAACACACAAGTCTTTCAACAAATAAAGAGTGTCCGAAAAGTCGTTATACGCTTTCATTTTCTTTTTCGTTTCAGCTATCATTCGGTGAGACGGGAGGTAATCAGTATTTCATAGCTTATGCTTTGCAGATTTTCATTTCCTTGCTCATGGCTTGCCTAGTGTAGTGCGAGTTTGAGAAGCTTTATGGCTGTTACACTGCTCCAAGGCGTAGCGCAGTTTATGCTATCCAGCGCAAGTTACTATCTGTTTTTGACATACCACGCAACGGAAGGGCTGATACTACCATCACTAATAAAAACACAGGTCTCCTGGGACAGGGGTTCGCGCAAAACCATGATACGTCCATCCGGAGAGCTGCACTAGAATTCAACATGAACAAGAGCTCGATTCAGGGGATGATTTAGAAAGTAATAAAACCCTACCGGTACTGACTTCAGGTTGTTCAAACCCTTCACGCAGAAGATTATGATGCGCGTGTGAGAATATGTGAATCACACCTCTGCCGTTACCAAAACAAACCTCAGCCATTGAAGAAATTATAATTCATCGACGAGTGTATCTTTCATCTCTCTGAAGGGTAAATTGACACAGAACAATAAAAGAACAGAAATTATGACGACAGAAGATAACAATTGACGTTCTATTTAAATTTTTGAAGATCAAAGTTAAAAGCAAGACGCCTGAAAGTAATTCCTTAAATGAACTTTTTTTACAGTAAAGTTTACCCTGCACATGGTGGGTGTCTTGTACAGAGAGGGTTACATTAAGGAGTAGTTTATATAGATAGGAGAGGATATAAACGGTTAACTCTAGGCTTGGACAAGTTAAGATTGTTGTGATCGGGGAAACATCCTCTTGGGGGTCAGTCACATAGGGCAGTGGTCTGTGAGAAGAATCTGTTTCAGTGGAACTTCTCTGAAATACGGTTGGGATATGAAAGGTTTACTACTACATAAGGGGCATGGCGGGTCCTAGCCGGGAAAATAGAACCAAGAAATGCAGCCTTTTTCATTGTAGTAGCAATTGTGAGAGGCTAGAAAATAATTCTTCTCCGACATGGACACGGAAACTCTTTTGAACTCTATCAAGCCTGGAAAGTGAGGACTGGGCAACTCCCACCCAAATATGACAACAGTTACGGTGACATCTAATCATTTGGACTGTAAAATGATGAGACCTTGCCGCCATTCTAGTACTGTGGTCGCGTCTTTCTAAGTAGGTCTTTCCTCAAAATCATCAAAGACGCCACACATAGAGGGAAGCCATTTTGCATTTATGTAAGACTAAGAAGAAAGGATGTTTTAAGAAATTTTTATATTTATACATTCTTTTTATAGATACAAATATTTAAGTAAATGCCCTGTTTTATATTAAGCAGTATTAATAAAATTTACCAACCTGAATGTCCGAGAAATTTTCATAAAAAATATCCGTCCTCCGAGAAGAATATGACATCTATCCTATACGGAACCGTCATATAGCCTGACGTGCTTTAACCGATTGAGCCATGGAGGATCGTTCGATTAGCCAAGTCGATTTTACTGTTTTTAAACTGCAATCTTCCATGAATCTCTCATGTACATTAATATCTGCTCAAAGCGTATCCAAATTAAACAAATGACGTCACAATCGAACGATCGTATAGGATACAGGTTCGATTCATGTCGGTGGACAAATATTTTCTATGAAAATTTCTCGGACATTCAGGCCGGTAAATGTTATTAATACTGTTTATTATAAAACAGAGCGTTTACTTAAATATTTATATCTATAAAAAGAATGTATAAACATAAAAAATGTCTTAAAATAATTGTCGGACTTTGTCTATTTCAAGAAAGAATGTGTAGTTGTCAGTTGAAATAAGAACCCAATATTCGATTTATAAACTAGAGATACCAAGATCAAGCACGTACAGAAACTTTAATATCGGGGAAGGGTTTTAAAATAAGGCGGGAAATACGAAGGGGCAATTGGATATCGATGTATGCATTCCAAAATCTAAACAAGCCAGAACTCACTACAAAAACTACTTCAATATCTTATCGAAAGGAGCGGTGTAGTTTGACTTTTACTGCATGCAGAACAGCTCGCAATCGATGCAAGAAATTTATGAAAAATGCAAAATTGCACAAACGGTCAAGCCAGGGTTGGAAAAAAAAACAACCAAACAAAACAAATTGGATCCCGTGAATTAGATCAACAATCAAATTATGAACAGAGGCACAGAGGCTGGTCCACGATTATTAACGACCCCGAGGTCATTTCTTCCTCGACAAATAAAGCGAAACTTGTCTCGAATGAAACGTTAAATAACAAAGTCAACCATCTTCCGAACTTCGTAACGTGCCACTGAGCACAATCTTAGTAATATTTTCATCACAGCAAAAGAGGTCTTGACACTTGTTAAAAGCCTTTGACTCTAGGAAAAACCACCGGCTTAGACTCAATTTAAGTGGTTGTCCTTAAGAATATCAATTCGGAAATATCCCCGATACTAGCGAAAGTTATTTAACCGCTGCTTGAAAGAGAAATGCTTAAAGAGAAGCAGTTCCAATCGAACAGATTCTTTCCGCATACCACTGCTCTGTACAACCGACTTCCAAGAAGATATAATCCTAATCTGTGCAAGTCTAGAGTTAACTGTTATCTTCCCCTCCTATCCACATAAAGTACCCCTTAATTCAACCATCTTCTTCGAGTGGCTTCTGGATCTTGTACAGGCTGAAACTCAATGTAAAAAGTGTAAAGCAAAGCATTACAAACAGGAAAATCTCATTAGGAACAGAGCAAATTACTTAACTCTTATGTGATATCAGTCCTCCTATAAAACAGCGAATGCTGAACAATATCATCACATATTAAGAAGTAACTTGAGACAACAGAAATGTGGATCTACAGGAGGATGCTGAGAATAACATAAAATGAACGTGTGAGCAACAAGACCAATGGAAACAAAAAAGAAACTTCTATATAACATCAGGGAAAGATAATTGAAATTTCTAGTACACATAATGAGGAAAGAAGGCTTAGAATATTTGACACACACAGGGCATAATGAAGGCAAGAGGGACAGAGGAAAGAAGCGAGGAAACTACCTACCGAGTTCGTGTCAATGATTGGCCGAACAGGATTAGAAGAGATAGCGAATGACAAAATTTACTAAGAGCTACAGAGGATAGGAAATTGTGGAGAGACATATTCGCCAACGTCCCCTAACGTAAACACAGCAGTTGAAATACGAAACTGCTGTACCTAGAAAGGGTTTCTGAATAAAGAATAACCAAAACGGAGTTGGGAATGAAATGCTAATCTTAATAACATCAATAAAATACAATACTCGCCAGCGGCGTGAAGTAGATAAACCATGGCTAGTGGTGCACTATTAGACAGCATATTCCACCCCCTACTTACAATAGTGCCCAACGTATTTATGAGGATTAGGACGAACCCATTGGTATTCATAGGTACAGTAAATAGACACACTACCCTACCTCAACTTGACCTCTCCCTGAAGGTGACTGATATGTGGATAAAAATTAACTCTTAGGCCCCTTATTAAAAATGGTCGCCCCAGCCTTTTCCATAGTAACGAATGAACATGCTTATAACGATACGTAAACTTCAAAATTAGTTATTCCTAAATTTTCGCTTTAGGATGAAACAAGGGTTGTTACTTTAATTCAATTTAATTTTAATAATTATATTGATGGTTTCGGCTCTCGTTTTTGAAACATGAGAACTCTTATGTAGCGAAGGAATCACATAAAAAAAGATAATTATAATATATATATATATATATATATATATATATATATATAATGAAGTGGACTAAGTCCGACAATTATTTTAATATATTCATCGTTTATATGTTATTTTTATAGATACAAATATTTAAGTAAATGCTCTGTTTATAATAAACTGACGTGCTATACCATATATAGCTTAAAAGCAGTACTTCGACTACTAACCAGGCGCTTCCTCTGTAGCTAAACTGGTATAGCACGTCAGGCTATATGACGGTTCCGTGTAGGACATATCTTCGATTTCTGTCGGAGTTCTCATGGTTTCTATGAAAATTTCTCGGACATTCAGGCCGGTAAATGTTAATACTGTTTAGTATAAACAGAGCATTTACTTAAATATTTGTATGTATAAAAAATACATATATATATATATATATATATATATATATATATATATATATATATAAACAAATTAATATCAAAATAGAAAAAATGTATGACTTCATCGGACTAAATTGATTATGTTGCCATGCATGTGATTGAGAAGAAACGGTGGAATTTTAAACTTTTAATTAAAATTTGTTGAAATATGTCTGGATAGTCTAGCCGAGTTCTTTTAGTTTCTGTTTGTTGGTGTTTTTTCTAGTTTTTGTTATTAAGTATTGCGAATAGTGATAATAGATCTGCCAAGAAAGATGAAACGTCAGGATCCGGACGCAAATTTACGGTGGATGATCTAGCGATTAAAGCACTTTCGATAAACCTTCCTCTTATTAAATTGATTACTCTTTTAACTGAAGCATCGTTTCTTTAAACAGAAATCAGGGCAAGGCTCATTACGATCAGCAACTAATGCACTGCGTGTACTCTTCCGTAAAATATCCCTTTTATGTTCATATAATTTTTACATATCATGCCATTTCTCCTATGTATTCCTTGTGGCAATTATTACAGGTAAGGGAGTCAATTTTCCTAACACACACACACACACACACACACACACACACACACACACACACACACACACACACATATATATATATATATATATATATATATATATTTTATATATATATATATATATTTAATTTATTCGAAAATTATAACATAAATATGTTATAAAATCACTACAAAAATAGTCATTTTGTTTCAACACTTCTGGTGCCTTATTAAGTGATGGTGTTGAATGAAGAATAAAGGGTTTTAAAAGGTTCAAATCAGGGTTCAAAATACCCTCGATAGGGAAAACGAAGATACATAAGCTGGAATGACCAATCAAAATACAAGTATACGAGAATTCAAAAAACTTGGCAACGAACCTTGGTTATACTGATTATTTAATGCTTTAATATTAGGGTTAGACTAAAATGGAATTCATTCTACTAATTAATATTAAATTATAATACAAAATTCAAAATTCAAAATTAACAATTTTAAATTTTAAATTTAATCTGTATTAAGTTTAAAATATTATAAAATTATTTAAAGAAGAAACTGAGGAAAAATACATATATTTTATTATTTATTTTATTTTAATTGAAAGGCCAAAAATTCAGGATAAACGTTAATCTAATGCGGATGTAAATCTTCGTTACAATTTACATTTGAAGTGTTGTATGGGAAGGGGAGGATGAAATCTTGCAAAAGTCAATACATACACAATCAGATTATAATACACAAACACGTAGAAATATTTAGATATATAAACACGAATAAACACTAACGAAACTGGAAACAGATGTCCACAACGCTTTAAAAAAGGGGACAGTATGAATGAAAACCAAAAAAAAAAAAAAAATCAAAACTATTAAAACTCATTATTCTACATTGAACACCATTTAAACCTTTGAAAACCCTTTATTCTACATTCAACACCATCACTTGATAAGACACTGGAAGTGTTGAAACAAAATGGCTATTTTTGTAGTGATTTTATAATATATTTATGTTATAATTTTCGAATGAATTGTGTTTGCTCTACTCTGTATTGAGCACTCTTTTAAGAATCGTATTATTTGGTTACTGATTTTATTCCGTATACATCAATTTTATACTTGGATCTCTCTCTCTCACTCTCTCTCACTCTCTCTCTCTCTCTATATATATATATATATATATATATACATATATATATATATATATATATATATGTGTGTGTGTGTGTGTGTGACAGGGATTCCTTATGTTTCCTGTTATCTAATTTACGAATCTTGTTTTCCTGAATTTCATTTTCAAAAATTATTCTATCTTTAAAGTCACCTTTTTTTCTTTGGTTTTTCATTCGCCGTGTTTCTGTTTTGTTTTTTCATTCGCCTTTTTCATGTGTTTTTTTTTCATTGACTTTTTACTTTGTTTTTTCATTCACTTTGTTCCTTTTATTTTCATTCACCTTTTTTCTTTGTTTTTCATTCATTTTGTTCCTTTGGTTTTCATTCACATTTCTCCTTTGTTTTTTCATTCATTTTGTTTCTTTGGTTTTCATTGACATTTTTCTTTGTCTTTTCATTCACTTTGTTTCTTTTATTTTCATTCACCTTTTTTCTTTGTTTTTCATTCAATATGTTCCTTTGGTTTTCATTCACATTTTCCCTTTGTTTTTTCATTCATTTTTCCTTTGTTTTTTTCCTTTCACTTTTTTTCCTTTTTTATCATCCATCTTTTTCCTTTGTTTTTTTTTATTCATTCTTATTCTTCTTGCCACTCTTTTATTAAAACAATAACTCCATTATACTTTAATTCTTCGTTCTCCAATTGCGTTTCTATCATTTAATCCCCCCCCATCAGTAGACACATATCAATCCCTAACTTCTTTTCATTCGTTTCCTCAAGTCCAATAAGTATGAAACGACCAGGTTTATTTCATTTTACTCCTCGATCGCTGGCTTGAACCGCCATAAATTTAAACATGGTCGCTCCGAAAACCGACTCTCGTAAGAACGTTTAAAGAAAATCAAATTTTGTAGAAGACAACATAGAATTATAAAAAAAAAACAAAAACAACAGCAAATAAAAAGGCAGACATTGATGTCCACCGACAACTGAGCTAAGAATCTCAATATATATTTTTTCATTGCATTTCAGAAGAAAATCGGAAGGATCCTGATTTATAAGCAACCTGATATTGCTGTGCGCTTTTATTTAAATGCCTGAAGTATGGCGGAAACTCGCGGGAAAAACTGTTTGTATTTAATCGATTCTAACGGAAGGCGCAGAAATTCCACGGGCAAAGACAACTAAGGTTATCTATAATTATAATCTCATAATCTTTGCCAGATTCTTTTCAACTCTCTTCTTTATTCCTGCTAATCTTCGTTGCCTCTTCATTGTCTTATTATAAACGTCTTTCAGCTGTTGTTTCTTATCAATAAGGAGGACACAGGTTCAAACCGAGCCGAAGGGCACACTTTATTTATTAAGGAAAATCGACGACAATTATATCGTTTAAATATCGACTCCAACCCATGTGTCTACTAAATATAAACTTTATAGGACCCAAAAATTAATGACGAATTATAAACAGTAATAATTTCTCTGAAATACTTTTGTTTACGCCCCGGATTGGCAGATATAGGCTTCGAAAGCTCTTGTCTTCAAAAAGATAACTGAACTTCATTTTTCCGTGAATATATTCCGTGAATATATTCCGTGGTTGAACAGTTTAAAAACATGTTGTTTCTATTACATATGGGACAGAAATTTGAAACTAGACGAAGAACACATCATCTTTATTAAAGGCTATCGGAAATCAAGACCGGTAGATGATAATTCACTGTTAAAAAACAAAACAAAGACGCCTACGCAAACATGTGTATCTACAAAAAATATATATATATATATATATATATATATATATATATATATATATATATATATATATATATATATATATATATATGCATCTTATAAAGATGTTACATACGCACAAACAAGTACTAACGACAAAGATGCGTTTTTGTTTCGATGTGAATGCATCTTGACAAGTGAGGAACAAAGATGGTTATAAACGATTCTATGTAAAAGTATTACTTATGAAACATTCTTTTTCCATTATTCACATTTTCATTTTTCATTATTCTAATTTTCTTTTTTCACTGCAGAAATTTTCGGTGATTTCATTATTCAAATTTTTATTTCTTTTTCATCATTCAATTTCTTTCATTATTCAAATTTTTATTTGTTTTTCATCATTCAATTTCTTTCATTATTCAAATTTTTATTTGTTTTTCATCATTCAATTTCTTTCATTATTCAAATTTTTATTTCTTTTTCATCATTCAATTTCTTTCATTATTCAAATTTTTATTTGTTTTTCATCATTCAATTTCTTTCATTATTCAAATTTTTATTTCTTTTTCATCATTCAATTTCTTTCATTATTCAAATTTTTATTTCTTTTTCATCATTCAATTTCTTTCATTATTCAAATTTTTTATTTCTTTTTCATCATTCAATTTCTTTCATGATTCAAATTTTTATTTGTTTTTTATTATTCAATTTCTTTCATTATTCAAATTATGGTTTTTCATTATTTAATTTTTTTATTCAAATTTTTTTCGTTATTCAAATTTAAAAAAAAAAAATTGGTATACACGTCCAATAAATTAGTTCGTACCAAATTGGGACACAAATTATTAAGCTTGATTGATAAACATTTTCTTATGAAAATCTTCAATTGTAAATACTGAAAATTAGCTACAGTTATACTAGCAATCTGGATAAAATTATTAAATCACACAATAATAACACACTGAAACTTTATAACGATAAATTAGTTCGTACCAAATTGGGACACAAATTATTAAGCTTCATTGATAAACATTTTCTTATGAAAATCTTCAATTGTAAATACTGAAAATTAGCTACAGTTATACTAGCAATCTGGATAAAATTATTAAATCACACAATAATAACACACTGAAACTTTATAACGATAATAACAGTAATCCAAGCACAAATTCTAATATATCTCGTGTCAGTGACCTATGTTATTGTCGGAGTCCTGATCAAACAAATTCTTAAAGGAATTCATTGTATATATATATATATGTTCTATTTCATCAATTGAAAACTTGGAAAATATTAAATTATATGTTGGTTCAGCTAAGAATGCTTCTAAAAAACGATATTATAATCGTATATCTTCTTTCAATAGTGTTAGCAAGCTCAATATGGCTTCACTTTCTAAATATTTCTGGGAATTGAAAGAAGAAAATAAGACACCTAACTTTAAACTGAAGATTATCATACAAGACAGAAGTTGTAGATCTTTGTATGAAATTTGTGTTTTACCTCTACAAGCAAAAATGTGTATTATTAAGCATTTGATTAATAGTCAATTGTTAAACTAAAGATTTGAAACTACCGTTTTCTGTTGGCACGTTGAAGATCTAACATTACGATCTTGCTAACCCTTTTTAAACTTAATTAGTTTTTCTAATATTATTTTACCTTCTTAGATACATACCACTGTTATCTTTAATGATCTATCCTAAATTAAGGTTCTAAATGGTTTCGTACATGTATACTACTAGTAATAATATTAGATAAAATTAGTTTTTACCTATACTTATATTACACATATGCAGTTATGATAAGCAAATATAAATGGATATAAATCCGACAGAATGAAGAAAATATCTGGAAAAACAAAACAAAAATCCTTAAAATGCGATTATGTTGTTTTAATATGAATGAAATGTCGACGTCTGACGTTTCGGTTTAAAAACCTTCTTCAGGACAATATTCATTAAAAATACAATTAATATGCAGTTATATAGATTGGTAATAAGTTTTAATTTTATTTATTTATTTTTTTCAGTATTCTCTACTTTATGTGTCTTGTTATTTATATTTTAGATTTTGAATTAAAATATTTAATGTAATATTTTAAATAGTTTACTTATTTTTGCATCTGTATATATTTCTGAGATGAGGTATTATGTACATTATTTATATTATTCGGACTATTGTCACCATATTTATTACAAGGTTTCGGCCGTTGTACGCTCCAGCCTTCTTCAGATGGTTGGAATTTATATGGGCTGATTCCTTAAGTTTACAAATTTTCTAATTGTGTTCCTTGTCTATGATCTCAACCTGATCCCAAAGAGGGCGGTGATCTCCCTTCTCTCTCCATATGTGGTCAGCCACGCCTGATTTTTCCACTTCCCTTCGTGTTACAGGTTTTTGGTGTTCTTAAAGCCTTACCTTAAGGGAGAGGCCTGTCTCTCCTTCATATTTATTTCCGCAGCTGCATGGGATAGCGTACACACAGTCTTTAGTCACGTTCTCTTCTATGGGGGGGTCTTACTCGAAAGAGATATCTGCGAAGTGTCGTCCCGCTTTTGAAGGTTATCCCGATGTTATATGGATCGCAGAATCTTTGTATTTTCTCTGATAACCTCTTCACATAAGGCAGGCAGACTGTTTTCTGAGTGTTGTTGTCCTTCTCTTGTACCCGCCTATCCCAGTTTTTTGGGGCTGCTGCCATGTACCCAGGGAAGTTGTTACGTTGTAGGGTACTACTTATACTGACCAATTCTTTATCTAACTTAAGGAATCAGCACATATGCTAAGCCACAAAAAATCTCCTGAGCCGACCAAGCATAGAAATAAATACAATATGGGAACCGGTAATAAGAAGTGCCAGAGAAAAGTGATAACAACAAAAAAAGTTGTAATATGAGCTCTGGTAAAAACATTTAATGATAACACCCAAAAATTGCAATATGAGACTGGTCAAAAACGGTTACTGAAGACATTAGTATTATAATACCCAGAAATTCATACACAGATATTCTCAAGGACACATGGCACAGTGGATAAAGGCGTTGGTTAGATCCTGTGACAGGACCCAAAGGGTGTGAGTTCAATAACCGGTTAAGGCAGTGGAGAACTTTCAGAGGGAAATTAACAGGAGATAACTGATAACCGACAGCCATCAAACATGGCACATGGAACTAGAACAGTCTACCCCAGTGAGTGAAATAAAGGGTTCAGTTCGACATTCCAACCACCTGAAGAAAGCCGGAGCGTACAACGGCCGAAACGTTGTAATTATTGTTGCATGTCTAATGTTTTTACTTCTTAAAAGGGTCTTTTTTATATACTACGTTTAATTCTATTGAACAATATGTCTGCTTCTTTAAATAATGTCAAACTTTGATTGTTGCATAATATCAAGAGTGTTTCAATGTAGCAAACATTTCCGATTTAGTTTAAATCTTTTGAGGTTTTTTCTTTATCTTAATGTTAATGTTCTTTCATTGGCTGAATTGTTACCAACAATTATTGTCTTCCTTTGTTCCTTCTGCTTTTTTCTTTCTCCTTTTTTCCGTTTTTTTCTCCTATTCTCTTCAATATTTTTTCTTCTTTTTTGAGTTATGATGTGTTGTCCATTTATTTTTTTAAAAATCTCATATTTCTCTTTCCTTTTTTTCCATTTATTGTTTTCTTATCCTCTTCCCTTTCCTTCTTACCTGTTTCCTTCTTATACTATTTTTTCTTGTCCTTTTATGGTGTTTTTCCTTATGTCTTTTAAAAAACTGACTAATGAAAAAAGAAAGTGATGCTTCAGGCATAGCATTTTTAAACAGAATCGTTTATAACCATCTTTCTTCCTCACCTGTGAAGATGCGTTCAAATCGAAACAAAAATACATCTTTGTCGTGAGTACTTCCTTGTCCGTATGTAACATCATCATAATAAATAACTATTGCTCTACTCTCGGTATTGAGCCCTCTTTTAAATCAATACTATGAATGTTTGAATTTATATTATTTTAGTTCTCGTTATATATATATATATATATATATATATATGTGTGAGTGTGGAAAGTTTTAAAAAATGTCTTATACACACACACATATGTGTGTGTGCGTGTGTGTGTTTGTATTAAAAAGAAGAGATGTACTACAAACGTTTTTGGTTGTGATGTGGATTTTAAAAAATTATTATGCTTTATTTTCCATTTTTTTACTACACGTGTTTCTGGTCTCGCGACCGTCTTCAGGTAAAAGGCGGAGATTTCCACATATTATTAAAATGATTAAATTTTTCCTTTATGTTTTCGATGTTAAATATTCCTGATATGAGACATTCTCTCTTTTTGTGTTAGCAATCCGAATTCTTTTCTTATATATATATATATATATATATATATATATATATATATATATATATATATATAGTTTATGCAAAACTAGGTAATCCGTATGGGTAGACCCAAGGAGGATGATATCCAGAGAGCTCAGTAAATTCAGAGCAAATAAATTTGAATCAAAACAGACCAGTTTAAGGTTCCATGTAATAAGTTATTTCACCATAGCCCTTTTAAAGGGCTCTGGATCATCAGACTTTACTTCCAAAGGTTAAAATGAAAAATGAAAAGAAATTTACACATTTTTGACGGGCCGTATTAAGCATATGTAAATTGAGGAAGTGAGTGGGGAGAGAAGACATGAGGGAGTTAGATGTACCATTTCAATTCTTTATCCTTAAGCTCACTTGGTGTGGGACAAACATCGCTTAACTTAATGTATGTTATCTTTAGATATGGATGGGTAAGTGATGAAGATGAAAGCCGACATAAAAGGAAGAAGATACAATAAACCAATCCTGATGAGAGAAGGTTTCACTTAATTTCTTGGACGATGTTATTTCGCATTCCTTTAAAGGGTATATTTGGGGGTTAAAGTTTGATATAAATCGAAATGTCTACAAAATCTACGAAGAATTTAATTGGATGTTGTTGGAGTTTTGGGTATTTTCTGTGAAATAGTCGATTGGAAAAATTTCATAGAAAGTACATTGAAAGAATAAATTCCTTTTACATCTAGTAATCTTTTTTTTGCTTAAACTTTTTTCTTGTTGATTATTAAGCTGACATCTATTCGTTTGAGTTTTGTTCATAAATTAAACTCGTGACTGTTTTTAGATACCTACATAATTATGAAAGATTATTCCAATTTAAATAATTTTATCATTAATAATGATTATTAAAGGGTAATATATTTCAATTTAAATTAAATTATCAATTTAAAATTTACCTCCGTATAATTTAAACTTATTTCCCATTGGAGAATATTAGAGGAGAAATTTGGATAAAACATTACTAACAGAAAATTAGGGTATCTTTTTATAATATTCTATATATCGATACATATACACACTCTACACATATCCGAACACTATATATATATATATATATATATATATATATATATATATATATATATATATATATATATATATATATATAAGCTGAGAACGGATAGTATATAATTCCAACGTTTGTAACATTTAATTTATAAGAGAGCTCAATATAAAGTCGATCAATATTATTTATTTTAGGATGTTACATGGAAAACAGGTCAAAATTGCTAAATTTCTTTTCTTTGGATCACTATCATCATAATTTCTTTTTTCGTAAAAGAGTTTTCTTTTTGCTTTTAAATCTAAATAA